TGTCTTCAAGCGCACATTAAAACACCAACACTACTGCTCACTATATATGTTTATAGTGATTTTGTAACTGCATGCGGAAAAATGCTTTTTTTTCATTTTGCTCCTTCCTGGCTCCTATACCATTTTGCCCAAGAGAAGTGTCTGACAAACCTGCGAGATTAGAGTAATGCTCCAATGCTCCTTCCTGGCTCCTATACCATTTTGCCCAAGAGAAGCGTCTGAGAAACCTGCCAGATTAGAGCAATGCTCCAATGCTCTCTGTGAAAAGAAGGCAAAGGGGACACTCCTGCTGCACTGCTAGCAGTTTAATGCCTACTTTGTTTTAGATTACTTTAGTTCTGAGATCTTTACACCTCTAGAGGATTACCACCCATTAAGGGCTCTAAACGACCAAGCTAACAGTTCGGTTATTAGGTTCTTAGTGTCATACCACGCTCCTACCTTAAGAGCTCGGCTTAATGTAGCTACCATTTGAGAGGCATAGCTTGAACAGATAGGATAAAAATTCCTGTTCTGCAGCTATAGGCCATCGAGGCATTAACCCCCACTGCCGCTCTTAGGCCCTCTTATGGGGCAAATATTGTTCACATTTTCTCATGTAGTTCTTCAGATAATCCCCTCATGCTGAAATATGTACACACCTGTTTCAATTATCTCCTTTCTCCCATTCAATTCCATATATGTTCTGTATCTTGCTTTTAAAAAATTGATATTGTTTCATGTTTGTACAATGAATACTTAATTCTTTCAATAGCACATAGAATTCCACATTATGGATAAATCATAATTTATTTCATCAGTCCTCAACTGACAGACTTTTTGGTTGCCCTAATCTATTGCATAAAATAGCAATGATGCATTAAATATTCTTGCATGTGTGCAAGTATATCTATAGGGTTGATGTCTAGGAGTAGAACAGCTGGGTCAAAGAGTGCTTTTAAATTTTGACAGATTACCAAAATGCCCTTTTAGATAGGCTGTGTACTATTTTACGCTTTGACCAACAATGAGTGAAAATGTCTTTCTTCTTATACTCTAACATAAAACGTTTAGTAAAACTTACAGATCTTTGAAAGATCTGGCAGTTTAAAAAGTGGTATGCCATTGTTTAATTTATGTTTCTTTTAGGAGGAACGTTAGCATATGTTCATGGTTTTGAAGTCGTCTGTAACTCCTTTTTTGTGCTCTTTCTGTGATCCTTTTCTTGCTGTAGTTATGAAAATCAATCCTTTGTTCTATAGTGCTTTACAATCCCACTTCCCTTCCACCCTGTCCCTTTTATTAGTTTATACCTGCTTATGGTGATTTTGTCATGAATCCATTCTATGTTGTCAGATTTATCAGTCTTTTATCATGGCTTCTGTTTTATATAATGATAAGAAAGCTGATAGAAATAAAAAGGTGGAAACATCTGAGCAAATCATCTCACCAATATTACTTAAAATAACATCTTTAAAATAAAGTAACATAAAATAAAAGAAATATTTGTTACTTAAAATTAGAAAACAGAAGCCCAGAATGGTTTGAGATGACTAATTTAAGCTTTGGCAGTGAGACAGTTTTTCCCCAGGATCAGTGCTTATCACATACTGACTTGACTCTGGTTGTTGGAGTACATCTTGCTCCCCTACCAGATTGTAATTTTTTTTTATCTCTGCAGTGCCTCAAAACACCTAGCATGAATTTAGTAAATGGTAAATGAAGAGTACATGGATAGTGGTAGAGCAAGGATGAAAGTTATTGGCTTTGGAGTCTGACAGGCCTGATTTGTATCCAACTCTCTCATCACTCGGCTGTGTGAAACTCAAGTTATTTCATTTCTCAGATTCCTTGTCTAAGAATGGAAAAACAACAACAGAGCTGAGGTAAGGATCTAATCGCTGAGTGGAGAGTGATTCCAATTGGCTACCCAAGACCTAACCTTTCATCCCTTTGGATGTTGGGGAACTCTTCATCTGACGCATCGGAGTCCTCCTCTTGTCACAGAATCTGAAAATGCTATACTCCCTGCGAATGGGACATGAGCATAGGACTGAAGCTCCCCAGTCAGACACACCTTTCATGGGTTTTGAATTAGAAGCAGGAGTCACACTGAATTTGGAAACTGCAGGTTCCAGGGGCAGCAGGGCCAGACGTTCCAGGGTACTACTGACCAACTGAACTTTCGGCGATGGGATGTTTGAAAGCCTGACGTTGTTTGTGTGTAGAAGTCATCCAAGAGCTTGCTGACCAGCTACAGATGACTCCTGAGCACTTGAAATATGGCTAGTGCCACTAGGGAACTGAAATTTAAATTTTATTTGATTGTAATTAATTTATGCTCAAATAATCCCATGTGTCCAGTGGCGCCCACATTAGACAGCGTAGTTCTTGAGGCAATGTCCAGGGCCCAGTGTTGGTGGTGTTGGCTGTGTAAGCTGCAGGTCTGGGGTCAAGAGTGGCAGCAGAGGTGTCCTGATCAGTTTTGCAGTGGATTCAGAACATTATTCCTGGCTGGCAGATGCCAAGCCCGGTTCCCTGGCCTTCTATTACCCTTTACTAAATTCCTTTTCTGTCTAAACTCCCGGGGTGGGTTTTTGATTTTTGTCACCAAGAATTCTAAGTGAAACACATGAGATGTGGAGTGCAGAAGTGTCTGGAGGTGCTCAATAAGTTGTTTTCATCCCTTCCCTAGGAATCAGGGTATGCAAGTGCTAATTATAGGATATGCACTGAATGCTCTCTGTCAAGATTCAGTGATGATGCCATCTAATCCGTGGTCAATGAAGGCACAGGGGCTTCCGAATCAACCCCAGCCCACCACCTATAGTGTGTTCTTTAGGTTAGGATGGCATTCAAGATACACAGTCTACCTAAATCAAGAGATCAAAGACATAGTGCACTTCTAAAATGGTGTCAAGTACATACATTCTAGATGTGAGACCTTGTGAAGGTTTTTACCTTCCCCTAGTCTGCATGACCTAATTTATATAATTTAAATTCTTAGTATCTAGAAATGAGCACAAATGTAAAACAAAAAAACAAAAGGCAGGATGTAAAAACAATTCACTTCTACATGATTCATTTCCCAGATGGACTCCTGCCACCACTAAGGCTGAAGTGAGATTTACACACTCAGAGTCTGGTTTGGCTGCGAGGTTACCAGGGCAACCTGTAGCTCTGGGAGGGCCAGCTACTCTCCCTCCTGCTAATTGTGGCTGGGGATGGAAAGTGTCCATCTGTTTGTCTGAGGATTAGATGCGCGCAACCAGCTACAGCTCCTGGGGAGAAAAATACTTTTGATACAGCTGCCTACCCTGCAAGGGACTGAGAAACTGTGGGCTCTGGAGTCAGGTTGTTGGGTTTGAATTGTAGCTCTACCACTCACTGTCTGCGTGACTTGTTATACAACATCTTTAAGCCTCAATTTCCTCAACTCTAAAATGGGGACACGAGCACCTATTTTTTAATATTGTTGGAAAGACTAAATGTGTTCTCAAGTGTAAAGTACTTTGTTTTTTTTAAAAAATTTAAAGACAGGGTATCACTGTGTCTGTGTTGCTCAGGCTGGAGTAGGTCTCAAACTCCTGGCTTCAAGCAAAGCTCCCACCTTGGTCTCCCAAAGTGCTAGGAATACAGGCCTGAGCCACTATGCCTGGCCCGAAGTAGTACTTTATAAAGTATACTGGGCACTAAATAATATTGTTATCACACAAGATGCCACCCAATGCACATGATAATAATAGCTACTCTTTACTGAAATAAAAAGTCTTCATTAAACTTTCACTACATCTGTGCACTGATACTGTTTCTACACACTGTCATGCCATATTAATCCACACGACAAGCCCTCAAAGTATTTAGCTTTATTTTAGAAATCAGGCTTCAGAGAGGTTATATGATCTGTTCATGGTCACACAGCTTGTGTCAGAGTCAGGATAAGTCAGATAAGCAGCGGTCTGGGTCTTTCATAAGTACATTTATTTATCCAACACATATTTCTCGAGTACTTACTATTCTCAACCACCACACAACCCTTGTGATACAAGATTATCTTTCAGTGTGACACTTTAGTTTGTACTGTGGGTTCTTGGATTATAAAGCGGCTTTCTTGTAATAATTGTTTAAAAATTTCTCTTTCTCTTTTTTTGATTTGGTGTTGGTCTCAAACTCCTGGGTTCAAGCAATCGTCTTGCCTCAGCCTCCTAAAGTGTTGGAATTACAGGCATGAGCCACTGTGCCTAGACTCTTGTAATAATTAAATAAAGCATTCCATCTGTGTTTGCAATGATATTGACTTACACTTCATTTTTCCCTAAAATCTCCATATATATTATTTGCTTACCTGGCAAATACAAGAGATAAGGCTTCTCATATCTTCTCAGCAGAAAGCCATCCCCTTTGGTGCGGGAATGAAACAGTACAGAGAGACAGAACTTTCCCTCACTTTGCCATACCATGATTAATTACCTGCCCCTACCTACTGCCCACATGTCCCAGGCACTAGGATATACTTTGTTTCTTACCTTGAATTCCCTCATGGAATCCTCGCTACTCTGAGGTGCTATTTTTATCAATATCTATTTTATAAATGAGGAAACTAAAGCATGCATAATATCTCTCCATGGGGCCCAGGTTAAATAACTGGCAGTGTGGTGGCAGAGTTGGGATCCAGGCAGTCTTTCAGGCCTGAGCTTTTGGTTCATGGTATTCCTCTGTTTTTGCTCAGTGATTGGAGTTGACTTTGCCCAAGTTAACTGCTCATGACACAATTCCACCCCATGTCCACGACTCCAGGCCCTGATGCCTCACATTCTTAGAGCTGTCCCCCTGTCTCCTCTCAAAGACACTGAACTCCCTTTGGGCAGGGACTGTGTCTTCCCTCTGTGTGTATTCAGAGAACCAGCTTAGATGTGCACACAGCAGGAGCCAGTAAATGTTTGAGGAAGAAACAGAAGAGGAAAGGAAGGAGGTGGGAGAAAGGCAAAAGCACCGGAAGTCTCTATGAAAGTGGATCTCACCTTCTGCAGCTTCCTCCTTTCAGCCTCCACGGAGGAGCGAACTGATTTTATTTCCGTGGTGTGCTTTTTTACTAATTCTTCCAGTCTCTTCACGAACTGGTCTTTGAGATGCTTCTTCTCCTCGTCAGTCTGATGCTTGATTTTACGAAGATCTTCTTCATATTGTTGCTTCATATATTCTGTCTCAACGCTTGCCTCTTTCTTGGCCTATAAAAAAGAAAAGGACCTTGTAAAACTGCCAGGGAGGGGTAAGGGGCAGGGAATCACTATTTCCCTTTCATACTACTTTTACAGCGTTTATATACTGATTTTACAGCAGGTAGCACAAGGTGTAATAAATTTTACAAGGCTATATATTTGATATTGGAAAGGGGCTCTTTGGAATAGTATATCTATTGCCACAAGATCAGATATTTCAGCCATACTACAGTAGCTTTTAGAGACTGCTTTGTTTGTTTTGACTGGAAACATAAACATGTAGAGACAGTTTCCAGTTTCTCAGGAGTTGATGATAAGGGATTGGGAGGTTTCTGCTACATTCTCAGTCTCCTGGTTTCCGATAGCATAGAGTAGGCAGGAAGTTGGCTGGAACTCTGCTCCTGAAACCATGGAACCTGCTGACTCCAAGTGGATCCATTGTGTTTGGACAACGGCCTCGACCTGAAGCTCATGCCAGCAAAGCTGCCTGTGTCTTCTCCATCCAGGGCGGGGTCAGACACTACCTGTGTATCTGTGCTTCCTTTTGTGCAGGAACACTCCTTGGGAGAGCTTTGATCCTGCTGAGGACGAAGACTGTGGGTTTCCAAGTCCTTTGCTTCCCCCAGGACTTTATTCTCTAAAACGAGCTCAGTCTTCACGTCACCTGCAAGCACAAGTTTCAACATAATTTGGAATGCTCTTGGCCTTGGTCTCATGTTCCAAGGCTTTCTGCTGTCAGGTCCCTCTTCTGCTATCCAGTCACTTTGTCCACCATCCCCTATGCAATTCCTGCCCCGTGGTCTGCTGGCACTCAAGCAAGGTCAAGGTAGTGATCCTCATTTCTGCTCAGGGAGCATCCTGAGTTTAAATAGCTATCCTGTTCTCCCTTTATAAACTAGTAATCTCCAAAGTTTCTAAATTGCACGTTCCATAGGTTAAAAAAATGGAGCATGTTCCCTAACATATGCACATTGAATAAGAATTTAAAAGATGAAAGAAACATAAATATAGCCAGAATTACCAAGGTTTCCCCCCCCCCATATTCTCTGAAGTACTCATGGCCTACTTTTGAGACAATTGCTTTAAACCCACAACAACCTCCTGGTTCCTACTCAAATCTCTCCTCCTCTGCACCTTTCTGGCCCATGATGATTCATTCTTTCCCAGACATGTTATTCCCCTGCTGCCTGGGCCATGCCTATGATGGCAATGGGTGTTGTCGCAGTAATGTTCAGTCCCATGAGCTCCCTGAAGGCAGAGCCCATGCTTTGTGCCTCTGTTATTTCTCCCAGTGTCAAGCTGGTCACCCTGTAGGTATTCAATAACTTTCTGCTGAGGGAGCCTAGGGGAAGACATTTGCAGTCATATATTCCTAGATAAAAGTACAAGTTCTATCACCAACCGGTTGGTTGACTTTGAGCTATCACTTATCCTTTCTCAGCCTCATTTCTTGATCTGTAACATGCAAGACTGGCAGCATGTATCACACAAAATTATTGGCAAGACCCAATTATGTAATTGTGTGAAATGATGTTAAAAACATAAAGCATTGTCAAAGGGTGGGGAGAAAAGCCGGTGCTGAGAATTTCAGGCACCAGGGTGGGCCTGCTGGGGAAACATCTGTGAGCAAGCAGTCCTTCCACATCACACCCTTTAGATGTCCACCCTGTGCCAGCTCCAGATGCAGCAGCTCTAGGTGTGAGCTCACCTGTGCCCTGCAGGGACTGGACTCACTCACCAGACAGGTCAGATCAAGCATCCCTACCCCTCCATCTGCTCCCTCAGCATTCTCAAGGCTTCCGGTAGTGCCAGGCCAGCCCGGCAGTTAACCTTGGATCTGTAAAAAAGCTGTTCCAGGGCATCTCACCAGTTTTCTGCGTCCCATGACACTCCTGCAGCATCAGTCTGTCTTTGGCAATAGCCAGCTTCTCCCCAAGCTTTTTTGCAGTGCTTTTCAACTCGGAATTCTCGTGTCGGGCCTCCCTGAGCTGCACATCCAGGTCCTAAACAGACAGGAAAGGTCCCATTTCTCAGGTTACAGCTCTGTATAGAGACATCTTGTGTACACAGAACAGCCATCAGTTCTGAAAGGTGGGTAAATGTACAGCGAAAGCCCCAAGTCTCTGGAATTCGGTGGTTCAGGGCTCATCAAATCCCTCCTCATCCTCTGACTGGCTGTGTGGTCCTGGACAAGTTATTTAACCTTTCTGTTGTGAGGATTAAGTGAGATAGAGTGTCAAGCACAGAAAAAAAAATGCTCAGGGATTATTAGGTATCTTAGCTGCTGTTACTTTCAGAGACAAAGGAAGGTCTATGCTTTTGTGGGGCTCTCATAACTAACTCCATCAGTGGTCTTGCTCTCTATAAACACAAAGTCTTAAGAATTTTAGGACAGGCAGGTTGTTATGGAACTAGCAGGGGCTTTAGAATTAGGCTGATCTGAGTTTAAAAGCATGCTCAGCTCAGCCAGTTGTTGCTAGACTCTCAATTTCCATCTTGTCTTCTCATCCAAGTTCTCCATCTAAGGATGGAGTCTAGTTAGCTCACCATGTGTCCCTTGCCCATAGCCCTGGGCCTGGCACACAGTAGGTATTCAATAAATATTAGTGGAATGAATGTATATGAACTCAGTGGAGATAACAGGGTTCATCTTGGTAGAAACCAAGTGCTTAGCACCATGCCTGACACATAGTAGGTGCTCAAGATCAGCAGATTGGCAGCCATGCTTATTATCCCATGGGAGAGGTGTACAGTGAAGCTGCGTTACCTGAATCCTCTCCTTCAGCTTCTGGGCATACTTCTTCAGGTCACTTATCTTGCGGCCTCTGTGCTCCAGGTCCCCTTCCAGCTTTCTGACCTGGTCCTGCAGGGCCGACTCCTGGACCTGGAAGTTCTTTCGGAGGTCTGACTCCTTCTCCTGCCACTGCCACAGAGCCTCACTCACCGACTGCTGCATGGCCTGCCGGATGGCCTCGTTCTCCCGCTCGTAGGTGGCCTGCAGCTCCTCGGCCTTGTGGGCATAGTCCTTGCTCAGCTGATGGTTTTCCATCCGCAGCCTCTCCACCTCCAGCAGGACCTCCTGCATCCCAGGGCCCTGGCCTGGCTCTGCCTTGGTGTCGGGGCTCTCCTGGGAAAGCCGGCCCCGCTGGGTGTCCTCCTGGCTTGTCAGGTGCTGGAGCCTCCTCTCGTAGTCAGCCTTGAGCTCCAGCATCTCCCTAGAGAGCATCAGGACCCGCTCAGCATGCTCAGCCTCCACCCTCAGCTCCCTCTCCTTGGTCTCCAGCCTGCACGAGGCCGTCTCTGCCAGAGCCTCCTGCGTCAGCCTCTTTTGCAGCTCCAGGGCGCTCTCCAGAGCCTGAATGCGCTGGAGAAGGGCCTCCTCCTCCTCAGTGTGGCCTTGTTCCTGCAGGATCCTGGCCTTGGTCTCTGCCACCGCCTTCTGGAGCTCTTCCTGGTGCGCTTCTCGAAGTGCCTCCATGCTGGTCTCGGCTTCATCCTGGCGGGTGTTCAGGGCGTAAATCACCTGCACAAAAACCAACGGAGCATGTTTAGTGTGGGAGGTGTCAGGGGGCAGTGTGGGAGGGCCGACAGGACCAGAGGGGCTTCTCACGGTGGTGACTTGGGGTGATCCGCACAAGCAGCATCTGAGAAGAGGAGCTGTGTGGAAGTGGATTATTAGAAACCGTTCCAGGAGAAGCCAGTGGGAGAGCATGGAAGTGGGACAGGGAAGTGGTGGGAGCAGAGAAAAGGGGTGACATTGCACAAAGGCCGCAGAGAGGATAGCCTTGGCAGAATTCTGTAGGGACCTCTGGAGTACAGTGAGAATCCACGGAAGAATTTTAGAGCAGGGAAGTGATGTCATCTCACTGGCTCAAAAGGAACACTTTGGAACGCAAAACCCCCAACAAAACACTCAGAAAATGAACCCAGCAATATATAAAATGATTGGTATAATGTGAAAAACCAGCCAATATAATATACTGCATCGGTAAAGGACAATAGGCATAGCAAAACATCCGACAAAACTCAACATCCTTTAATGATAAAAACACTCAACGAGCTAGAAACAGAAGGGAATCTCCTCAGCCTGATAAGGCATGTCTACAAAAATAAATAAATAGATGAAAAATCCACAGTTAACACACCCAATAGTGAAAGCCTGAGTGCTTTCCTTATAAGATCAGGAACAAGGCAAGGGTTTCTGTTCTCCTTGTTTTTAAAACAAACAAACAAACAAAGAATGCTTTGTTTACAGTGTGGAGAACAGAATTAAGGAAGACTGTGGGAAGCTCAGGAAGCAAAAATGACTTCTAGGATGTTGGTCTGGGCAACAAATATCTGTTTCCTGAACAGGGGAAAACAGTAGGTAGAGCAGGTATAAAGAAGAATATCAAGAATTTTGTTTTGGACATATTGCCTTTGTTTTTAATTAATGTATGTATGTACATATGTATGTGTGTATGCATGTATCTACGTATGTATTTATTTTAGAGATGGCCTCCCAGTCACCCAGGTTGGAGTGCAATGGTATGATCACGGCTCACGGCAGCCTCAAACTCCTAGGCTCAAGAGATCCTTTAGCCTCCTGAGTAGCTGGGACAACAAGTGTGTGCCACCATGCCTTGCTAATTAAAAAAAATTTTTCTTTAGGCTGGGCATGGTGGCTCACTCCTGTAATCCCAGCACTTTGGGGAGCTGAGGATGGCAGATTGCTTGAGTCCAGAAGTTCGAGACCAGCCTGGGCAACATAGTGAAACTTCATTTCTATGAAAAATCAAAAAAATTTGCTGGGTGTGGTGGCACAGGCCTATAGTCCCAGTTATTTGGGATGCTGAGGTGGAAAGATTGCCTGAGTCCAGGAGGTTGAAGCTGCTGTGGGCCGTAATCATCATGATCATGCCACTGCACTCCAGCCTGGGTGACAGAGTGAGACCGTGACTCAAAAGAAAAAAAAAAACCATTTTTTTTAGAGATGAAGTTTTGCTAGGTTGCCCAGGTTTGTCTCAAACTATCTTCCTGCCTTAACCAGCTGAATAGCTGGGATTACAAGTATAAGCCACCTTGCCAAGATTGGGTATATTAAATCTGATATGCCTCTAGACATCCTAATGGAGATGACACCAAGGAACACAGACAAATGTCTGGAGCTCAGAAGAGGAAGTCAGAGCTGGAGATGAAGCGGGTATGTAGCCAGGAGAGTTGTTGCAGTTTGCTTGAGGAGAGATTTGAGAGCATGTCTGTGTGGCGGTGGGAATGATCCCATGGAGAATTCAGAAATTGAAGTCCCAGGAATAACAGCAGACAACACAGGATTAATATCCCCGAGAAAGGTCATTCACAGGTTTGGTTGTAGGAGAGAAGGGCAGGCATATCCTCCAGGGAACAGGAGGAAAAAAGAGATGGAAACGGGCGTATGGCACTTGGGACAGAAGAATGAAGAAGCTTTCACCTTGGAGATGTGAGAAGGTGTTTTCTCAATGGAATTAGAAGTTCATTAACTAACAGTGTGCTGAGCTAGTGGACAGAAAGGAAGCAAGGGAGGTTTGAGCAGTGAGGAGTTGTGAGCTAGTTTTTAGAAAGAGGGAGGCGAGTCGTCTACCTTACAGGGGAGCATCAAAGTCTGTGTTTAGTTACAGTTCTCTGCTTTGTTGTGAGGTTTTCTTCAGCCAGTCATCTGAATGAGTTCAAAGAAGGACAGGAAAGATGAGTGGGTTATCTGGGGTTGGGTTCTTACGTGGTGAGTGTGACAGAAGGAGAAGACGTGGTAGATAGGACATTTTTCAAGAGCCAAAAGCTGGAAGGGATGGGCAGAGGTAGTTTTTTGGTGATGACAAGGTCAAGTATGTGACAAAGGGAGTGTGTGGCTGAAGCAGAGTGGAGGAAAAGATCTTTGGAGAGGAAAGCGTCAAGAGACTGAGAGACCCAGGGGCTGGGTGGGTCCCACAGGAGATGTTGTTCTACTGTAAATGATGTCAAGAGAAGCTGGACTGGTCTAGGTGCCTGGGAGTCAGATGTCAAACACCACATTGGCTCTCATTGGCTGTAAATTTGTGTAATTTGTATTTGGGCATCGAAGATCAAGAAAGTTCTCCTGACTCAGCCTGTGATACCACACTTTGGGAAACTGAGGCGAGTGGGTTGCCTGAGTCTGCGGGTTCAAGACCAGCCCTGGCAACTTGGTGAGACCTCATCTCTACAACAAGTCAAAAAATTAGCTGGGTATGATAGCACGTGCCTGTAGTTCCAACTACTTGGAAGGCTGAGGCAGAAGGATTGCCGGAGCCCAGCAGGTCGATGCTGGGGTGGCTATAAACGTGCCACTGCCACTGCACTCCAGCCTGGGTGACGGAGTGAGACTCCAACTCAAAAAACAAACAAACAAACAAACAAAACCATTCTCCTGAAGAGTTACCACTACATACTGATTTACCTTTAGCCTTTGTGGGTTGCTGGCTTTTCCTGATCCACGAAACTGTCTATTGAACTACAGAATAATTTCATTGTCAGATTCCTACTACTGCCTCACCCATGCATTTCAAACTGTATTCCTTGTAACCCTGTGTTCCTTGATGGAGGTTGAGAGCCCCATCAGGGAGTCTGGCGGAGGATAAGCAGATGGGGACCTCCTTTTCAACCAGAGGAAGACAGCTCTCACACTTGGACTTCCTTAACATATAGTTCAGAAAAAGGTTTCTGTTGCTTTTTAAAAAAATTTTATTTAAAGATGTGGGGTACAATTCAGGGTTAGGTACAAATGTTCATTATGCAGGTACCCTTGTTGATGAGGTGTGCCCCTCCCTCCCCTGGCAGTTTCCCTCAACTGTCAATCCCACACCCCCCTTCCCTGGCAGTTTCCCACTACTGCCAATCCCTTCCTTATAGTATTATGATAATTACTCAAGATTAGCTTATGAGTGAGAACATATGGTACTCTGTTCTTTGTTTCTGTGATAGATCACTGAGTATGATAGACTCTAAATCCATTCAAGTTGCTGTGAAGTCCATATGTTTGTCCTTCTTTATGGATGCATAATATTCCACTGTATATATATACCACATTTTAAAAATCCAGTCTAGTTTCGAAGGGCATCATGGTTGGTTCCATGTTTTTGCTATTGTGAGCAGAGCTGCAACAAATAAGTTTGTGCAAGTATCTTTTTTTTTGTAGAATGATTTGAGTTCCTGGGGGGATTGCTGGGTCACATGGAAGGTCAATTTCTAGTTCTCTCAGAAATTATCACACTGTCTCCCAAAGAGGTTGCACTAGTTTGCATTCCAACCAGCAGTGTAGAAGCATTCCTTTTTCTCCATATCCTTGCCAGCATCTGTTGCTTTTTTTTTATTAATGATGGTCATTCATACTGGGGTTAAGTGGTATACCAATGTGGTTTTGATTTGCACTTCTCTAATGATGAGTGGGGCTGAGCACTTTTTCATGTGTCTGTTGGTTGCCCATATATCTTCTTTTGAGAAGTGTCTATTCATGTCTTTTGCCCACTTTTTAATGGGGCTGTTTGTTTTTTTTCCTTTTGACACATTTGAGTTCCTTGTAGATCCTAGATATTAGGTCTTTGTCAGATATACAGTTGGCAAATATTTTCTTCCATTTTGTGGGCTATCTCCCTGCTCTCTTGATCGTTTCTTTTGCTTTGCAGAAGACTGTCAGTTTGATGAGGTCCCACTTGTCTTATTTCATATGGTACGGGCAGTTAAAGTTTTGATCAGGAATTGGTTGCCAGTTCCAATTTCCATAAGGGTGTCTCCTGCATTTTCTGAGATTCTTATCGTTTGAGATTTTATGTTTAGGTCTTTGATCAATTTAGAGTTAATTTTTGTGAATGGTGAGAGGTAGGGGTCCTGTTTCAATTTTCTGCATGTGATCAGCCAGTTTTCCCAGCACCATTTACTGAGTAGGTTCTCCTCTCCCCAATGGTTGGTGTTGGAAGCTTTGCCAACTGTTGCTTTTTTTAAAAAAAGAAAAAAAACTCAATAACAGGGACCTAGATGATTATAAAATAGAGAATAGGCCATGCGGGAATAGTATATGAGAGGAAATTTTGAGTATCTCTGTGTATCTGCTCAAGCATGCATGCATTATTACAAAACAATCACTGAAGAAGGCCAGATGGCACCACTAGAGGTGATACATGTAACAGACTTAACAACGGTTTACCTAGCGACTACAGATCTTGAAGAAAAAGTAACCATATATCTAGGACATGCTTGATATCTTATGTTTTGTTTTCTCTATGTGATCTAGTTATTAGTTTATCGTCTGTCTTCTCACTAGAATGTAAGCTCCATGAGAGAGAAGCTTGGTCTTTGTTCATCACTATCCATTTCTAGTGTGTGGCTCAAGGTGGACTCTAAAATTAAGTGAATGAGTGAATGAAAAAGTCAGAACTCTGTCTTAAAGAATGTAACTGTTAAGACATGAGACTAACTTGACATCTTATGAAGCCTTGGGAGGATAAGCCCCACGCTGAGAATCCTGAGTCCAACACTCTCTCTGTCAAGGACAAG